GGCTTTATGTGGTGTGGCAGCTTTCCTTTCATCATCACCATCACCATCTAGAGAGAATTTCCCTGTTTCCATTTTCAGTTTTGCTTTCCGTTTACCTTCTCCTGTGGGGTTTTGTTGTGCTTGTCAGAGTGACCAGGAGGTGGCCCTACCCTAGGGAAGAGGTTCTTTCCCAGGGCTTGCATTAGGGAGCAGGGGGTGCCTGGCTCCCGTGGTGTTGTGGTTCAGGGGTATGTGAAAGCGCGGTGGTAGGTGCTTTTGGGGCAGCTGTGCTGGGAATGTTCTTCAGTGTTTCCTTTTTGTCTGTTTTTTGAGTGTCTGCCTTGGTTTTTATTTTCAAGTTTCTCTGCCTACCAACATGTACCTACCTTATTTCATGCTCTGATAGTGTTCATATATGTGAGTTAATGCATGTTTGCCTTTATTTCTTATTGACAAATATTTCTATTTTGTCGGAGCTTTTTTTTCTTTTTCTTTCTCTGTAGCATCTGCAGCTTTGCAGGTAGCAGAGTTTTTCCTTCCTCTCTCTGCAAGTGTATTGCAGAATGCTTTGGGGTCATCTGTCATCCCCAACCCCCGAGTTATTTTAGTTATTTCTCCTCAGCGCGTTGATATTTATAAATAAATGCATAAGTGTCACAAAGTCTTTTCCATCGACTACTCATGCAATGATCGTGATTTCTAGATTTGGGGTTTTTTTTTATTGTGCTTTTAATTTGTTGTAGAAATTAGGCAACATCAAGTGTTTGGGAGGTAGGAGCTGTTGGGAATATTTGTCTTTATCGTGCTGATCTGCTCTACATCTAGAAAGCGAAAGCGAGCGGAGTCCCCAGTGCACGTCGTCACTACTTCCTGGGAAGCTTCCAGCAGCCAGAGGTACCAGTGGCTGCTGATAAAGCAAGAACAGGGGTTTCCCTTGAGTTTTGGGAGGAAGTTCTTTTTTAATTCAACTCAATTTCTTAATGTGTATGTTGATGCTGTAAATAGCCACTGTGTTTACTGGGTGTTTTTTATTATTTTTGTGTGTATTATATTGGGTTGTGCTGGTTTTTTGTTAGTCTGTTGCAGGCTGCCTGTGTAGTAGAGATCTTACGAATGCCTTAGGTGGCATGCATGGTACCTAGTGAGCTGCTTGGTGGAGCTTATATCTATTGCATCAGATCACTTACCATTTTCCAGACCTTTCCTGTTTCACTATTTGAGTCTGTTCCTCTGATATTTCAGTTTTTACTTTAGGCACCTTCTCCTGTGTGCCTTCTGTAGGCGAGGAAATACCCGTGTTCTTTGAAGAGCAGAGTATCTCTTCTGATGTTTTCCTATGGGTGGGCATGAAGTGCAAAGATAACTGTCTTCCGCTCATATTTTCTAATGATTTTTTGTTTTGAACATGTGTATGCATAGGTGTGTGTGCGATAGGGATATGTAGCATTGATGTGGTTTTCCTTGACCTGAGGGGCGGTGGGAATAACTGCAATCCTCAGACCCTGTTCTCATGCAGATTTAGTTATATTTTGTCTAGTTTACGTAGGGGAAAATACTAGTGTGTTAGTCCTAGTTCACATCCACCAACTCTTGTTCAGATCTCTTCTCCAAATTTGCTTTTTGTGGCATTTTCTTTGGAAGTAGGCAGGAGCACTGCTTTTGAGTAACCTGCTAAGACTTTTAATGTGAATTTGTTTGTGTTAAGTGATTCTCACCAGAGTTGATAAGGTTGAATTACCTGGGAAGGAAAGAATGATGAAACAGGTCACCGTTTAAAGTTATGGAAAGCACCTGCAATATTAAATCTTTGCCAGATTATTTCATGTTCAGTGGTGGAGGACTGGGTGTAGGAAATGGGGGTGATGCACAGAAGTGCCGCAAGTTGGAACGTGCTGTCAAGACAGAAAAAGCAGTTGAAGTGCTGGGGAATTTGCAGGGAGGAGTATGAAGAAGGGGGATGTTTTTCCAGTGTTGGAGAATGTGTGGAAACCAATATGTTAGTGGTTAGAGCATTAATTCCTGATGGATTCAAGATGGTAAGGAATAAACCATGAGAATTATGAGGAAAAACACTTCGCAGAGTACCAACCCCACATGTGGAGTTCACTCAGAGAGGGAAGGGCAAACTTTTATCTTTTCTCCTAAACTGAAGACAAGATGCTGCTTAGATTTTGCTGGCATGTCCTGTCATCTCGAAGTGTGAGCTTTCTAGGGTGAGGACTGTCTTACCTTCTTGTGGAGGGCCTAGAAGAATGATCTAAGGCAGTGGTCTCCACCTTTTTTGATCACATACTCCATCAGTAAAAAAATTGTGAGCACTTGCCCCAATATATTTTTATTTCTATATTTTATACTACAGTACTACTGTACTAATATGTATGTTATAAAACATACACAAAAATAAGAATTAAAAAAGGATGAGAGGTTAAACAAACACTTATTTTTAAAATTATACCAAAACCATTTTCATCCTGCACCCCAATGGATTGTCTTGCACGCAGCACTTTGGAGACTACTGATCTGAGGTCTTCTGTAACATAGCTTAAATAAATTTTCCAGTCATCAGGTAGTAACTCTTCTCCCCACCCTCCACCACAACGTTTGTGCTGTTTTCCTAGCTGATGTTTCCACTTTTAGGAAACAGGGCATGGTACAAAGGTAAAACCCTTTCACTATGTCCGTGTTGGGATAACGGTCCTGGCCTGACCCCAGGTCTTTGGCCCCTGATGGTTTGTTGCTCTTCCAGGTGCAGTCCTACTGGAAGATGGCAGCTCAGAGCTGAGAGTTGGGAGGGGAAAGCATTTATTCATTGCCTTGAACTTACCATTAAGAGATGAACTATTTGTATATCATATTAAAAATGTCTGTAAAGTAGGTTTGGTTTGAAGTTGAGGATCTAGGTAAATCTTCAGCTCGCTGTAAGCGATAAGGTCAGCTTCTGCCCAAACTTCCTTTAGTTTCTTCCTTTTTAAGTTTTCTTATGCACATAGTATGGGGTTCATAAGAGCTGTCTAGCTCTGTTATGGTTTCAACTATTAATAAATGATGTTGTCTCTTTCCAAGGATTACTACGGAATTACATTCCCTGCTCCTGCAACCTTGACAAGCAGAGATGGGAGCCTTGCTAACAACCCGTACTCAGGTGAGTGCTATTTAAAAACAAGGATGTTAAGTGAGATGTGCTGGTTTCTAAATGCAGGTCGTCCTGCAGTCATTTTTCAATCCTGTAAGCAGTTAAAACCATCAGTCCAAACTAGTCAAACAAAAGCGAGCATCTCCCTCTCAACCCTGACACTGATGTTTCTTCATGGTTTTGGTCAGTAATTCATACGTGATTTCTGCTGGGACTGAGTTGGAGAGCCTTGGAGAATAAGTTGAAAATTGTTATGAATGTAAACAGCTATGACATCTAGTGCCTTTCCCGAGCACATACAGGTGCTTGAAAAATATTCCATAGCTTAATGAGTCTTCTCAAAACTCAACTGTCTTGCTTTCCTTTTTTGGCACTGGAATAGACCCCCCATCAGCAGCTCCCCATGCTTTGTTACTGCTATTTTAGCACCTGCTTGTTCCCAGCAGGAGATGCATCTAGCAGGCTCTCCCTCGCCCTCCCCAAATCTAATGGACTTCATTC